CCTGGTCGCGCCTGTCCACCTTTGGGCCGAATGTGGACACTGATACCCAAGGTGACAAGGCTTCGGGTGGCGCGCAGACAGCCTTCCCGGGTGGCCCAGCCTCGCCTCACCAGGCCAGCCAAATAGCCCCAGCTGGCCTCGACAGGCCTCCCAAGTAGTCCGGAGCTGTTTCAACACCAGCCCCGGGGCGCGGAGCGCCCCAGGGTTGGTGTTGAGACCGCCACTAACAGCCCGGGGGGCCTGTCGAGGCCAACTGGGACTACCTGGGACGCCAGTTGAGGCCAGCCGGGACTACCTGGGGGCGGCTGATGAGATGAATGTCGGCTTTGTTCGAACTCATGAGCTTTATAAAACGTATTTTGCTATAGCTACAGCAGCATCTTGCTATAACTACGTGGCATGATTATCATATTAAGCTAAAGCCAGCCGGGGCTATAACAAACCAACTTAAACTGTATGATAGGTTTAGCGGTTGCTAACTATGATATAGGTCTAGCATAGCGTTTCTTCCCGAAGTGTGATAACTTATCCATGCTACGTTAACGTAGCTGTATATCGTAGGTTCAGTGGACAAATATTTTAGCTGAGCGCTGGATTTCAACCGATGCTCACACCCCACAAAAAAAACATACTTCTTGACACAACATCTGCATTTTCGCGTTTAACATGTAGCTCCCGATGCATTAAACTTGTGAACCAACTGGGCAACGAACGCCAACACAAACGAAAATTGAAAATTCGAGCTCGGACAAACCAAGATTTCACCATACATCTGCTGGTCAGTATCATTGCCCTCCGTATAAGCTAAAGGCTCGGAATGACCGCGCGCATCGGATCACAGGGACCGCTCGGTGGACCCAAGACCAACCTGCATCGCACATGCAAGCATCAGTTTTTTGAACGCATGAACTTTGAATTTGTGGATCAGAGTGGAGGGCATGCGAGCCTTTAGGTACTTGGTGGGCCTGGAACGCTTTATTTGCGATGCAAATGTTGGACCTTGTGGTTGCGTTTGCCCTCCGTCGTTTGTATAGCCGTTTCGGCTCAAAGCATCATAGCTGTACGTTTCGAGCTTCTCACTCTCGCGCGCCGTATACCGCAGGCGCGATGGCCCAGCTCACCGGAGTTTTCAAAACAAAAGAAAGAAACAACTTCCAGCATATGGTGTGTTTGCTTCTTCCTCTTAACAAGCAATGAAGGCGAACGAGCATTTGGACAAACTTACGCAGTGCCTCCGCGATCGCAGGCTGGCGTACACAGTGGACCACATCTCTCCGATCATTTTCATCACTCATATGGTAAATCGAGGGGGTGCTTCTGCTGAGCCCGCATAATGTGCGCCGCAATGCTGCTAGGATCCACGCTTGCGGAGCTGACGGGCGCCAGCTATCAAATGCTCTGTGCATCGAGCCCCCCCCGCTCCGCCGTCTGCACCTAGCTAAGAATAAGCAGCTGGTGGATCGAGCCCAGAGGCTTCTAGCGCCTGTGAATGCGCCAGAGCGCCACGCGACAGTCGGGCGCGGGCGCACCGCGGCTTTTTGCAGGCAGGCAGGGGTCCAGGGCAAGGCGTCGCAGAAGCCATTGCAATGCCATGGCTCAGATTTGATCGACGTGCAGAAGTTGTTCCAAAATGCGCAGCTCAAACTCATGATTGATAAAAGGCTGGGCCTGGGAGGTGGCCCCAATTGTGATCGACGAGCTGTTCCCAAGCTTTGCAGTTGTAGCTCAGGGGGCGTTGAACGAACAGAACCACATCGGCGCTGAGGTCGGGGAGCTCGAGACCTGCGCGACCGTGGCGGCGAGAACCAATGGCCCAGGGATGCGCGAGCTCGAGGGCTGGAAAGAGCCGGCTATCGCGAACGTAGTTTCGCTCAACGTGCTGGGCGCTAAGTGCAGCTAGACCTTGCTTGAGATCGTCGAGCATTCCGGCGGCGGCGATGGCGCACCTCTCGCGGCGTTCATGGACCACGTTGCAAAGCAATTTGGCTGCGACGTTACGCTCGGGCAAACGTCTCGGGAAGCGCTTGCGCGCGCAACTTTCGCATCGAAGACCAGCGTGCATCCTTTGTTCCGGGCGGCGGTTGCCACTGTGAACCTCGCGGGTCTCACGGTTGAGGACGGCGCGGCGCGCTCGCTGGTAAAAGCTGACGTCGCGGAGGTCGCAGGCAGGCCCAAGATGGCTGAAGCAGCTATTGCTGAACGCATCCGCGGCGAATCCATGGAAATCGCAAATGGGCTCGACGGTGTCGAGGCGGCCTTGGAGCCGTTAGGGCAGCTATTCGTGGGGGTTGGTTGCGTCGAGGCTCGCGGGGGAGGAAAAGGTGGGCCGGGGGGGCAAAGGGCGCAAGTGGGGCGACGCATGCAATTAATTCTTGGGCAGCCTCAGCTGCCTCAAGGGTCAAACCGTCGCGTTCGACGAGTGGGCTAAGTACGAGGTCTCGGGCGGTGCCGCAGCAACTGCCACAGCGAAGCCGACTGCTGCAACCAGCGCGGAAACGCTCAGTGACCATAAGGACCCGGCGCGAATAGCCAAGTAGGCTGTACACTCGGTCGGGTGCTCCGTAATCCAGAAGGATGTTGCAGCCCAGAGGCTTTACGCGGTCTTCAGCATCGGCCAGACTGTCAAGCTTCGCGTAGCTGTCAACCGCGACCTGGACAGGGAGCCACACATTGCTGAGATTGCACTGGCCGGTCTCATTGAGCAGCGGTCGATCTCGAAGGCTGAGCCGTTAAAGCAGATGGAGGGTGATCAGCAGCGCCCACAGCAGCTGTACATCGACAAGCAGAAGGCTGCTTTGGACCGAGCTCTTCTCGAGCTAGATGCCAAGCACAACGGCGCGCATGAGCTGGTCTTCTGGCGGAAGCCAGATGAGGTTCGGACCACGAGCGCGATCATGCAGGGTCTGCTTACTTTGGCCTCAGTGGCACCACTTACAAACACAAATTCGAAGAACACTGGGTCGGGCATGTCACTTGGCGATCACGCGGATGACAGCGACGCCACGCTTCAATTATTTGTGTTGCCTGTGGGGAAGCCGCAAGACAACGGCGCCGCCCATTTCGGTGAAGCCGGATTTGTGGCTGCGCACTGGTGGGTCGGGTCAACCTACGATAAGAAGCAAGCCAACATGGCTGCGAGCCACGAGTCCCACGGTGGCTTCATGTTGCCAGTGCGGACCAACATTGTCGACGCCGGGCCCAACGTAAAGCTTCAGATGTTCGTCAAGCCCAAGGCTAAGGATGCGCCAATCCACGAGCAGAGCTCCAAGGAGCACAAGAGGTCGCGAGCATCATTCGGCATGCGCGGATACGATGCGTCAAGTGCGTGTGTGTGTACGTGTGTGTGTTTTGCATCGCACGTGTTTCATAACCTCGTGATCTGCAGCTTAGATCATCGCAGCACCCTGCAGAGCTACAGTCCATATAATGCCGCGCAGTAGAGAGGATGTAGACGGTGTGTGTGTGGTGCGTGCGCGTGTGTGTGTGTGTGCTTGTGTGCGTGTGCGTTTGCGTGTGTGTGTGTGTGTGTGTGTGTGTGGTGTGGTGTGTGTGTGTGTGGTGTGTGTGTGTTGTGTGTGTGTGGTGTGTGTGTGTGTGTGTGTGTGTGTGTGTGTGTGCGTGTGTTTGTGTGTGTGTGCGTGTGTGTGTGGTGTGTGTGTGTGTGTGTGTGTGTGTGGTGGGTGGGTGGGTGTGGGTGGGTGGGTGGGGTGGGTGGGTGGGCGCGGGGCGGGGGGGGGGGGGGGGGGGGGGGGGGGGGGCGGTGGCGGCGGCGGCGGCCGGCGGCGGCGGGGAGGGGCGGAGCGGTGGTGGCGGGCAGTGGCGGTGGTGGCGGGGTGGCGGTGGTGGGGGGGGGGGGGGGGGCGGGGGGGGGGCGCTGGGAAGGGGGGGGGGGGGGCGCGCGCGCGCGGGGCGGGGGGGGAAGGGGAGGCATGGGGGGGGGGGTTGCTGAAGGAGGGGGTAGGGCGAGGATGGGGGCGGGGGCCGATCTGTCGCCCCTTCGGCCAGCGCGAAGCTTTGATGTCGAACGTCTTTCTGCGCGCAGGCGCGCAGAGCAGCCATGCGCTTATCACGCAGTTGTCCCTGTGAGCAACCGCGCCTGCGCCGCCAGAAATTAATGAGTCACTGCGTGGGGCTGCCCATGCGCGCATCTATTCGCATGGGCCTGTCCGCCGCGAATGTCTAGGCGGAAGAGCTTCCGAACGTGAACGGGCTTCAGTTGTGACGGTCTGGTCATGAATCTAACTGAGAATGAATTGGAGCGTGAATGAGCCTCAGTAGTACCAGCGCGTCCCTGCGCATGAGCCTGGGTCCTCCTGTGGCCCCCTGGGGCCTCCTGAAACCTGCAGGGGCTTCCTGGGGCCCCCAGGGCCCTCTTGGGGCCCCCTGGGACCTCCTGGGGGGGATTCGCGCCCAGGAGAGGCCCAATCTCTGGCAGCGGACGCGCGTGAAACATTGCGGAGTTGGAGCCGCAGGAGAAGGGGGCAATCTATAGGAACGCACGTAAAACACCAAGGACAGGTGCCCCAAGAAAGGCCTTGTAGGAACATAAGTGCACGGGGGAATGACAATATATAGAAACATACGTATAACCGGAAGGATTCGCGCTCCTGGCGAGGCCCAATCTGTAGGAGCACACTTAAAACACATGGGATTGGAGCCGCTAGTGTTGCCTTCTGACGCCTCCTGCTCCTGGGGCCTCTCGGGGCCTCCTGTTGTCTTCCGAGACCTCCTGGCGCTTCCTCTGGCCTCCCGGAGCTTCCCGGGGCCTTCTAGAGCCTCTTGGGGCATCCTGTGGCCTCTTGGGTCTATCTGTGGCCTCCTGATGCCTCCTGGGACCTCACGTGGTCTCCCGGGGCCTCCTGGGGCCTGTTGGAGCATCCTGGCAGGAAAATGTGCCCGCGAGTCTGGCCACCGATCGAGACGTCCTCAAAATCTGGCCCACCTGGGGGGTGAAAATGAGCGCCTCGCTCGAGGCGCCCTCCAACTCTGCTCCGAAAGCGAAGGATGTTGGGACAGAAA